TTTTATACCCAGGGCAACAAGTGGTTACAGACCTTTTTTAACGAGGGCGTTATAATATGACGATCAAATCCACTAACCGCTGGTAACGAGTAGCTCGAGTGTTGGAGACCGATAATGTTGACTATCTACTTTGCCTCTAGTCTATCACTTCAAAATGCTGCCCGTCATGACCGGGTTGTTAGGGAGCTCGACTCGCAATCTAAAGGTCGCGGGTTCGAATCCCCGTCCCACCAAACATGCGTTACAATGTGTAGCTTTGCGCGAAATTCAACAAACAATGTCTCCCTTAAGTTTAACATATATTTTTGAATACTGTTTTAGCGCTTACATAAAATATATTCCAGCTACACCTAACAAAATAAAATAAAATATATTGTTAACTACTTCTACTTTTTATTTATTTGTTTTTTATATAACGGCTTGTTTTCGTGAGAGCTGAATTATTTTTAATATAAGTATGCGGGTTGACTTTCTCTACTGATGTGTTTATTTTGTGTCGAAGTAGAAAGCGGATACCACCTCACATCCTCTCTCTTATTATCTAAGCTGTGTAGGTAGGTGACGGAAGGAACTGTATTGTTATTTATCTGTGTGCAACCTAAATAAATGAATAAAGTTAAAAGCTGATAAAACAGTTCAAACAAAATATGACCTAATAATGGGTTTTAAACTCATACTGTCTAAATATGTTTGTTTATTACTCTGATTGGACTCTGTTTCGCCGAAGGACACGGTGGAGCTTTTGTTTATTTATTTGTAGTTAACCACAAAGCTACGCAACGGGCTATCTATTCTGTGCCCACCTCGGGTATCGAAATCTGGTTTTTAGCGTTATAAACCTTTAGTCACTTGGGGGCACACGCCAAAGTTCCAGAGTTTGCAGAGCGTTTCTGTTTATATATATATGTATCTAAAATACTTAGCTAAAGATTAGATCTGTATGCAAAGACAACTTCCAAAAGCACCCTTCAGTTAGGGACGGCAAGCGCAGATAGCCCTTGAGTAGCCTTTCGCAAAATATAGTGGAACTGTAACTTTTATGACGTGCCCACTGCTGAGAGTAGAGACCCCATCGATATGCAGGACTTAGCAACACGCCACTCTTGACCCTGAACGTCCAAGGTTAGGAACTTATTTGGATTGTAAAAACGGGATTCTGTAGATAACAGGTCCTGTCTTCAGTTAACGGCATTTAAAGGGATTCTGTACTGGGGTTGGCCTTTTCTTTTCTCTTGCACTATTTATATGCTACATTTGCAAGAAATGATAGTATACTGGATACATATGCAGAACATATTGGGTAATTTTCCGTTAAAGCCCCGCAACTGTTACTGTTAAGCCTAACGTTTAATAACCACTTATATATTTTTTATCACTACCTTGCCTTCACAAAAATTATAAAGTTTATTTTTAATTATATAGAACTTAGAAATAAAACTATTAGAGATGACAATAACTAGTCTTTGATAATGTTAATAATAAAATGTATTTAACCTGATTTATTTTATAACTATAAGCTGAATTTAAACTAATGGATCTGAGTTCAAGTAAACAAGTTAATCATTAAAACACGAAGAGACAATAAACTAGTTTTTAGATTTTATATACTTAATACAACAGTGTATTTAACCTGTTTAACGATTAACAGTTGCGGGGGTATAACGGAAAATTACCACATATTGTGGTGAATACCTTGTTTAACTGAAGAGAAGTCCAGATAGTCTATAGACTGATCAAGGTTCTAGAAAATTAATAGCAGTGTAAAATAACATCCTTAGGGATTATATGAAGTCAGAAAACTATTATTGGTAAAGCAAAGCTATAGGTAGAGCCAATTAAGGGGGGGGGGGGCATTTGGCCCGAGCCTCAAGCTCAAAGGGGATCTCAAATTTAGACTTTTGGTTTTGTATTTGTTAAGTTTCACGACTTGTTTTTATGTGCCTTCCAATCAGACTGAAATATGACACACACTTAGAACTGAAAATTATATACAGATTAAATATATTAACAAATAAGTTTTCTTTTAGGCTAATGATTGTCATATCTTGTTTTCATGTATCATCGTTTTTTATTTTTATTATGGCTCAGGCCTCAAAAGATAGAAGTGGCCCGGGCCTCTCTGAACCTTTGAGAGGGCCTTGCTATAGGTATAATAATTTACAAAGTAACCCTTGTCTTAAGTAATCAAGTTACACACTGTATATATATATACA